CCAACATGGCAGCGGATGGAATTTTAATTCAATTAATACTTCTGGAATTGAGAGTGAGTCTTAGTAATTATTCTGGTTCATTAATATCGTTTAAGATAGGAAATCAGTCATCCTCAGCTGATGTAGCCTACATGTTAACTTAAATGCCCTCTGAAATGGTCAAGAAGCCACTCAGTTAAAGTGCAATCAGGGATGGATAACAAATGCTGGCCTTACCAGCAATGGTCAGATCCTATGAAAGTATAACTAAAAAACTTGCACAGTTAATTATTTTGAAATGTTCACACACAGATTAACTGTGAATTGAAGGTGATGGCTAATATTGTTTAATCATTTGAACAATGATGAGTTCAATGATTCCTTGAAAGGGCTCTCAGTCAACATTCTGTCCCCTTTGAAAGAAACAGTGCACACTCCTCCCACATTGCAAGTATTTCAGTCACATTTCAGACCTTATTGTGTAGTTGATTTTCACACTAGTATAGTGAGCTTCTAATTTTGTTATTTTGTGAATGATTTTCAGGCTCCGTCTGTGACCCCTGAAATCCCCCCATTCTTCATATCCCTTTTACTATTGACATTCCTGTGACACAAATGATCCCTTACCAATCCCTCCCTGTTACATAGAGCCCCTTTACATCACAATTAATGTGCCCTCTTGATTCTCAGACCCCATGACTCTCAAGGTCCCAATGACCTTGCCAGCTCTGTATCCTCCCTGTATTCAGGCCAGAGTGGCCATGCAATCCCACTTCGAGACCTTACAGCTCCTATCAAGCCCCACCTCACTAACTGCTATTGCCCCCCCCATCAATGTGGCCATTCCCTTAGAACAATAAGGTCAATCCCTAGACTTGAGCTGCCTGGAGCTTTGATAACCCAATGGACTGAACTATGCAAAAGCCCCTGATTATGTTCAATCCTCCCCAACCACCTGCCACCAGACCACACCTTCTCTCTCATCCCGTGCATGTCCACGGGCTTGCATTGGATCTACAGCCTCATCATGACCAGCCCCCAGTCTAGATTTGGCCAGCCCCTAGACTGATGGAGGTCATACCCCTGACTGACTGACTGGAGTCTATATTCTACCCACTAAAAAAAACTCTTTCTCTTTGACTTTCACACATCAGATTTAATTCAAGCACATGCAGTCTGTTTACCACAAAAGCTGCAGGCACCCACTGCAGCTCCGCTGTCAATATAGAATCACACTGTGCAGTGATATGATCACCTTCTACAGGACTTTTGTGTGTATTCTTTATGGTTTACTTTGCTTTCTGCGCCTCGCTCTGCACTCAACCACTATGCTCAAGACAGATGCTTCCTGGCTGCCTACCTGCATTAAAACAACAGCTCAAAGACAGAGGATATCTGGTTACACATATCCACTAACGCTACTACTGAGCCAACAAGTGATACCTGAACCTGATTTATGACAAGCAGCCTGATTATCCGAGGTGGGTGTGTTGCAATTGCCCAGGGAAGTGGATGGACAGTCCATGGAGAATGTTCCCATTGCCCATGGCGTCACCTGTCGTAGTTATAGAAGTTCCAAGTTCCAAAGGAAGATGGCAGTACAACCAAGAATGTGCCTGAGTCTGAGGATCAATCTCAAGAACTTCCTACTTAGCTTCTCATGTCCAATTTTTGAGGCATTGAGTTTCTCAACTGGGGAGAAATTAATCATGGATAGTAAGTGGTAGCAGGCTTCTCACTACCTGATGATCAGAATTTTATGATCTAAGAAGAAGCCCTTAAAAAGAGAGCTTCATTTTAACAGTTTCTCTCAATGCCTATAATCTGATTTTTTTATTCTTACCCAACGAAGTCATCATTACTCTTGCCATTATAATCACCACCTCAGGGACAGAGAAAGATCTAAGGACAAAGCAAAGGATGCAAGATTCTCATGCAAATTATTTACAGATCTCATGGCGGCAGTGATGTGGTGTTGGGGGTGCATGAACATGAAGACCAGAAACCATATTACAGAAACAGTGGACTGAAAGTTTTATTTTCGGGGCAGGGGGGTGAGACACAATATCAGATTGAAAACATGGGCTGGGGGAGGGGTAAGAAACTACATCTCAGACCTGAGCAGGATCTTCACTTTCATTATATGGGAGTTGAGGCAGCTAACTAATTACCATTAGGGCTATTGTCAGTTTTAAGGACAGCCATCTGCTGTCTGGATTCTGTATACCTTTGTTAAATCTTCTCCTCAGCTTTTCCACTCTATTCCATTTTCCCTTGGTTTTCCATGAAACCAAAAGCTTTTATCTTTAATATCAGTTAGTAACAAGTTCCTCTATTGTAAAAACAGAAAATGCTGGAAATGTTCAGCAAGTCTGCCAGCTTCTGTGAATAGAAAAACAGAGAGTTGATGTTTCAGGCAGATTTCCCACATAAATGATATTTTGACTAATTATGTCTTCTGTTGAGGAATACAGGATGAGAAAACACAGTAGGTCAACAGTGTAATCTGTGATTACAATCCAGAATTTGTAAGATATTTGCATCTATTGCATTCTTGTCTTAGCACAGAGAAATTGCAGAATTTTTCCTCAACAGATGAATTATTTGGACAGCATGCAAACAGAAGATACTGGTGAAACTCAGTAGGTCTGGCAGCATCAGTGGAGAGAAAGTCAGGGTCAAATGTTTTGGGTGCAGTGACCCTTCATCAGACCTAGTGGTAGCTAGCAAAAGGTGGTATATATGCTGAAACAAGGGTGGGGACAGAGGTTAAAGGAGTGAGAGGATAGGCGAACGCAGAGTGAAGACAGAGTATAGAGGGAGAGAAAGGCAGTTAGGCAAAAAAAGAATGGATAATGTTGGGAAGGAGAAAAGATGATAATGGAAACCATTAGAAGGTGAAAATGGGTTGACTGCGCTGAAAGCAGTCCATGTGTTGACAAGGCCTTAGAAGAGGGTTCAGCTCTAAATTATTGAACTCAATATTGAGTCCTGAATGCTGCAGGGTCCCTAAGTGGCAAATGAGATGCTGTTTCTCCAGCTTGCATTGCACCTTCACTGCAGCAGGCCTGAAACGGAACTGTTGGCAAATGGAAGCTCGGGGTCATTTTTGCAGACAGAATGTTCCACAAAGCTTACGTTTTGTCTCAGCACTGTAGCGGAGACTGCACTGTGAGCAGCAAATACAGTAGACCAGATTAAATGAAGTGCCGGCATATCACTGTTTTATCTGGAAGGTGTGCCTGGAGCCTTGGACGGTGACAGGGAGGAGGGAAACAGGCATGTGTTCCACCTTCTGTGATTGCAGTATTTTAGAATTTTATTTTAGATGGACAGGGTTCAGGATTAAGCCAGCAGTAGATGATTTGTGGGTAGGACGGGTTTCATGAGTTGCTGAATTAATGTTTACTCTGAAACAGAATTCCACAACGTCATTTGGGGTGTGAGGGGAAAATTCCACGCTGAAGCTACTACAATTCAAACTAAAAGAAATAAGATTCATTTAGAGAAACTGATAATTACACCATATCTTCTTTTACAACACAACTACCATAGATAGGACAATTCAGCAGAACCTGCATATTCTTTAAATACCGGTAAAATACTGTCACAGTTAAATTATTTAAATGAAATCGGTCCTGTGCCAGAAGTCTTTTTTTTTATGAATCAGAACATCATTCAATAAAAAAGTACAAAAAAGTAAAAGATAAGTCAGAAGCATAAACAGTGCATTTTAGGTGCCACTAATTTTAGTTATTAGAAATATCAGTTGACAGGAGTTTTTTATTTCCTGAGCCCTATATCAATTTTTGTTCTTCATACTATAGTAACATAATAGTGACTTTTTGAACCGCAGAGGAATACAAGTCAAAAGTGGCTGTTTAACATTATATTTTTTTCTCTTTTCTAGAGAAATCCAAATATATCCTGTTGCAATGCTATCTCCTAAATACACTTTGATTATTTATTCTGTTTTATATATTTCACTAGCTTTAATTTCAAAACCTGTTTAATGTTATATTTTTATTCTTATTATCTTACTAACCAGCATTAATCATTAATCTTCTGTTACCAACATATGCTGGTAAACACATACATCTCACATTTTGAATTTCCATCCTTTCTTTAGAAGTTTCCATTATAAAGAAGTCACCACACAGAAAAGCAGAGTTGTAAGCTCCCATGCCCTTTCACAACAACCTATAATGTGTGTTAATACTCAAGCTATATCTTCACTCCTCCATGGCTATAAAACAAAGCAAACTGAGTGTGACAAAACTCACTAGGGATTACAAAAACAGCCAGATAAGCAGATCTCTTCCTTGAAAAGAAATTTGAAATTTTGAAAGTATTTTGTTTTCCCTTCTTTGATACTGTAACTGGCCTATTCAATAACACTGTATTGTTTCTGCACTGCACAACACTTTGTAGTATTTAACATTTTAAAATTAGTTTCACGATAAATGACAACCACATATCATGAGGATCAGTGTATTTCTGGCTAAATTAATCATTATTGTTGAAAAAATCTCTAAGTTCAATACATGTTGCATAGATCTTTAAGTGTCATCCCTTTTTTCCTGATGTTCCTGTTTCTGCCAGGTATAAGCATTAGTCAAGACAGCAGCAAACCAATTTGTTTTGAGGACATTTCCAACAAATTAGAAGAGATATAACATAATTGTGGATGTAACTGTCTTTCCAGAGATATGATTACTTCTGACTAATGCCACAACACAGATGAGAACAGGGACACAACAGAAAAATGGACTAAATGTTTATTCCTTAAGGTTGTGTTATAATGCAAGTTTATTCATTAACTGTGGGCAGCAACATCAAGTAGTATAAAATACAAACAGCAAAGCAATTACTTTCACCATAGAAAAGGCCTCTTCTGGCCTGTCATAAACAGTTTTTACATCAGTGATATAGAAGACAGATACATGGTATCTAACTTACAAGGAAATAAAGTAATATATTTTGAAATAGATACGTTTTTTCACTTGATAAAAGATAATGGAAGACATATCTAACAGTAAATTAGTAATATGGAAACTTTGCCAACAGTGTATACAAATAAACATTAGAGATTTACAAAACTCTTACCAATTTTGTTTTTACACAGAGTAAAAACAACTCCACTTGAGACTTGACGATTTATTTGACTCATACTCTATAATTAGACATATATCACCATGAAGGATATAAATAATATTATCCTGCTTTATCACATAATCAGCTGTGATGTAACACACAAGTCAACATGATCATAGGGTCATTTGAATCACTAACCCACAGAGGAGAAAGGACAAAATAACCTCTCTTGAGCATCAACACATCAGGTGACAAAAAATGCCTTTCTGACTTCTTCAGTTTAATTTCTGCACCTAACTATGTATATTTTTAGCAGTATTCAATTATGATAATTCACCAGCACACTTTATGGGAAACAGAGTCTTGTTTTGCTATAGAATAGAATTGTGTCCAGAGAATCACTCATTGAAAGTACAGTTCACCTTGTTTAGCATCTTAGCACAGAGGGTGTTAGCACCTAGATCAAGTCTTTGAACTCTTATCTGCCAGTGAATCAGATCAACACATAATACATACAGAAAGACTGGCACTCCTAGGCGACAGTAGATTTTCATGGATAAAGCAGGATGGCAATACTACATCTTGCAGAAGGAAAGTCAGCCAACAACCAACACATCTGAAAGAAGGCCATGTTATAGCCATTGCAACCTGTGGGCAGATTAAAAATGGTGGAGAATAGGAGTTCTGCCCCTCCGTGGAAGGAAGTCCCGTCCTCAAGTTCTAGAAGTTGCAACAACAGCAGACTCAGTAATAGGTGCTGAGAGAAGGAAGTGGAGAAATGGAAGTTAGAGACAGGCAATTCCCAGACTTTTAAAGTGGGAAGGGATCCAAGTGCATAGGGAGGAGAGAGAGAGGGTGGTGGGGGCAAGTTTTGGAGGGTAGGTGGTGAGGAACAAAGTAGGGAGGGGGAGGCTAAAATAGTTGGACATTCCCCTGATAAGCACATTGAACACCCGAGTGATATGTCCCACAACCCTACACTCCTTTTCACTTTTCTTCAGTTTGACCTCAAAATATAGACTGCCCACTTCTGCATGCTTATGAACACCAAACATATGATGATCTGGGCAGCATTGTATCCCAGCCACAAACAAAAACAGAACTTGCTGGAAAAGCTCAGCAGGTCTGGCAGCATCTGTGAAGAGAAATCAGAGTGGTGACCCTTCCACAGAACTTGATTTTCGGTTTTTATATAGTATCCCAGCCAACTGACTGGTAACAAGCTCAATCGACCTTAATTCTTTGTTTAAATATGGTGGGTGGGCTGGCGATTTTGGGGGATTTTTCAGGTGTTTGTGGAAAATTGATGGACTAAGCGCCCTTTGGTTATTATGGGTCCCCACTTCTCCTGCCCCACAATTGAAAAAAATCACAACTGGGAAGGATAGCATTTTAGCTCATGGAACAAATCATGGGTAATTGACATAAACATGTTTCTTTAAGCCTTTATGAAAGCTTCTCAGTTAATAAGCATACATCTGCAAATAGAGGCAAGATATTTACAATACTTGCAAATATAAAGGAAAAAAATTGCATTATGTGAAGAAAGCACACAAGAATGGGACTAATCAGTTAGCTCTTTGATAACCAATAACGGGCTAAATGACCTCCATCCATGCCTTATGTCTTCATGGGAATCCTCTCTGGTTATTTTGCTTTATTCCAAATTAATGTTGAAACTTATATCCTGTTGCAAATTGACATAAGGCCCAGTTCGCCATGTCCACCATCCCAATGCCAATGATGACCCAGTGTGCTTCTTTTTAACCTTTGAGTCATATTCCTATTTAATACCAAGGAGGCAGGTAGGTATTTTACTTATAGGTATTTTAATTATGGAGTTTGTATGAGTTGTATCTATAGATAAAGTACTGAGTTGGCCCTATTAATCATTTATTCTTGTACAGGATGCCATCTTGGGACTTAATTCTCTCTATACATGGCGCAATTTCTTTTTTTTAATTTAAAGGCAGAATATAAATGCAAGCTGCTTTTGATAGCTGAAACCGAGAATATCTTTGGCCTGACTTTCTAGCCTGTGCATTCATCAATCTTTCAAATTCTCACCCATCTATGATTTCCCCTCCTTGCCTTCTTACATAAACTGATGAAATGGCAAAACTAAGATCATTATTGTAGTGAAAAATACTCTGGACTTCAAACAGAAATTGGTAGGAGAAAAACCTCCAGGTGCCCTGTGTGTCTGTGTGCCTTCCCTTCTCTGTTCCAGAATTTCCTTTTAACTCTGTTTATTTCTCCCAGCCTTCTCTTCCTCTTTTTCCCTTCACTTTTTTCACTTCATTCTGTTTATTGCTTCTATAATTTTATTGCTTCATCCTCTCTTGTACATCCTGTATTCAGCCACTGTCCTTCATGCACACTTTATATACTAGCCCTTTCACATGCAAACACATCTACATCTGATTCACAGCATACATTTTTAGTTATGCAGACTAGACACCTCCTGCTTCATATAAAACATATTACTCACATTCTCAGGTCTAATATAAATTCAACTGGCCAGCTTCAGCCCTGCCATTTTTGGATTTACCCCTCCCCAATCCCCTGCTCTTTCTGTCTACCTGTCACACAGTTTTACATTGTCATACAAAGTCTATATTAACTCTTCTTGCCATTAACATCATTTTTTTTTGTTGGATGTTTGTGCCTAGCCCAAATACTTGCATTCTCTGAAATGAACCTGGCTAATAGTCTGTACTTCTTCATACATCATGAAAAATTGCAGCAACTATTCCCACCTTATAATGTTTAGTGTAAAAGCATTTAACATATTCTTTTTACTTAATTATACAATTGGTCATCAGAAAAACTCTACAAATTAAGGCCAAAAAAAGCTTGAAGTGTATGAATATTGAAGAATAAATCTGTTGCATTTTCTTTTTCCCATTATGGATTTTTCTCTTACAGTGATTTACTGATACAAATCAAACTGAGCGCAGTAATGCAATCATAACAACTCAGTATATTGAATCCATCAAAAACACTTGGTTATAGGGTAGTCAAATATCCAGGATCATCCTGGAGCCTCCAGGAATGAAAGATAAATCACCAGGATAGAGCTCCTAGCAGCCATAGCAAGAAAAACAAAGGTGTTAAAGTTCTTTTTTCATTTTTAATAATTTTAAAATTAATTATAAAATGGCAGTTGGGCAGAGGAGGGACAATCGACTGGAAACATGTAGTGAAATCTCCAAAAACACCTGCAGCTCCAGTTGGCAACACCACTCTGATAACTTCTTTATGATAATCATGTCCCAGTATTTCTGCAAATTAACTCCCTACCCTCCTCCCCTGCTCAAAATTTAAAAACAGAAACAGTAAAAGGCAGAAATACTCAGCAGGTCTGGCAACCTTTGTCTGACAGTTAGTCAGTCCATGTTTCAAGTCTAATGGTCCTTCCTGAGGTTTGCTCCTCAATGTTTGCTGATTTTCTTTAATCCAGCAATTCTCTTTTCCCCAGGGAACACAGCACATCACATTTGAAGCACACCATCATTCCAAGTTGTCTCTATAGTGCCTGATGCTGTTTCTGACAATGAGTTTTGGCAGTTTGAAATCAAGAATCAAAAGGAAGATGAGTTTTTTTTTATAAATCTGATCTACTGTTGATCTGAGCATAGACCTATGTAACTGGCCAAGTTTGATAATCATCAGAAGTCAAATGTTACTTTTCTGTTCATTGACGTCGCAATACTTTCAGTGCGAGCTCATATCCGAAAAACATGGCTGCACTCATAGGAAATCCACGGATAGCATTCACAGTTGCTCCTTTAAAAAATACCTAGTAAGTAAAACAAACATTTTTAATATCTCCCACACAATAATTGCTACATATACATATCTTTGTTTCTTTAGTTATTTTGTATAATGTACTAAGCTCTTTCTCTCTTATATGGCAGAATCAAAGTATCTTGCAGTACTGCAGGAGTGATTGTGATGTCCCAACTATCAGCACTGGCAAATAGCCTGTTACGTGCTGACACATGAAAAGTGACAATGAGAAGTAGCCCCTCCTGTGGAAACTCTCTGCCTAGAGGTACGCACCTGGCAAACAAACAGCACTGCCTGAGACTAATCCCTCAGCTATTGGAAACTTAATCCACAGGGGGCTGCAGTTACGTTTCTGAGCCTCACAAGTTGAGGAGACAGTGGTGCCGTGGTAATGTCACTGGACTGGCAATCTATACACTCAGGTTTATGCTATAGGGATATAGGTTAAAATCCTACAATAAATCTGACAACAAGATTATGATGACCGTGAATCCACTGCCATCAAAACCTATGTACTTTACTCATGCCCTCTAAGGAAGAATATCTACCATGCTCACCTTGTCTAACCTATATGATCCTAGCCTCCCAGCCTACCTCGATCCCTCGCAGTTTGCCTGCCAGCACAACAGGTCCACGACAGACATCAGGTCCCTAACCCTGCAATCATCCCTGAAACACCTGGGCAATAAGGACACCTATGTCAAGCTTCAACTTGTCGACTCCAGCTCCGTCTTCGACACTATAATCCAACCAGACCAATCTCCCAACACCGAGAACTTGGTCTCAGCTCCGCCCTCTGTACCTGGATCCTCAGCTTCCTGACCCATGGACCGCAACCAGTGGAGATAGACAACAGCACTTTCTCCATGATTATCCTCAGCAGAAGCACCCTGCAAGGATGCATGCTCAGCCCCCTACTGTACACCCTATCCACTCATGACTGTGTAGCCAAATTTCATTCGAACGCCATCCGCAAGTTCGCTGACGACACCACTGTTGTAGGCCAGATATCAAATGATGATCAGGAAGGAGATAGAGTGCTTGGTGTAATGGTGCTAAGATAACAATCTCTCCCTCAATGTCAGCAAAACTAAAGAACGGATCATCGATTTCAGGAAGAAAGAAGGAGGATACGCACCTATCTACATCATTGGAGCCGAAGTGGAGAGTAGCGAGAGCATCAAGTTCCGAGGAGTGACAATAACCAATGATCTGTCCTGGTCCTCCCACACAGATGCGACAATCAAGCAGGCATAACAACACCTCTTCTTCCTCAGGATGCTAAGGTAATTTGGCATGTCCATAAGGAACATTACCAACTTTTACAGATGCACCACAGAAAACATTCTTTCTATCTGGGTGCTTCATGCTTGGTATTGTAACTGCCCTGCCCAAGATCACAAGAAACTACAGGAAATTGTGAACACAGCCCAGGCCATCACACAAGCCAACCTGCCATCCACGGACTCCATCTACACTTCTCGTTGCCATGGAAAGGCAGCCAATATCATCAAAGACCCCTCCCACCATGGTTACATTCTCTTTCAATCTCTTCTGTTAGGCAGAAGATACAGAAGCTTAAACACATACCAACAGGTTCAAGAACAGCTTCTTTCCCGCTGTTATTAGACTGCTGAATGGACCTGTCTAATTTCAACTCTAATGTTAATTTTGCTTTTGTGCACCTCCTGTGCAGCCGTAACCTTGTGTGTCTCACTCTGTCTGATGATCTGTATGTCCATGTTATGATCTGCCTGTAGTGTATGCAAAACAAAACTTTTCACTGTACTTAGGTACATGATATCAATCAATCAATCAAATCAAACCAAACCAATGTGATGGTCTGTGAATTGCACTCTAAAATGGTAACTTTGTAAGTTTTGACATGGAAGATTGGATCTCATGCACAAGAACCATTACCAAGCAACTATCTTGTGGTTGGATGAGTAGCTCAAGCCAGCTGGAACTGCAAACAAGAGTAGTATGAAAGAACAATGACAGCTAGCAAGATAATGGGCATTAATGGACATGATATCCTGAGCATGATGACACATCTACTGCCCGAGGTACTCTTTGCAGTTACAAGACATCTCCCCATGACGAAGCACCGCCCACAGGACCACGCATGTGTAGTTGAAGCTCCATGCACCATTGGAAAGCCCACCATCCTGACAAAGGCATGTCTCCATCCCTCCTGTTTTCACTGTTAAGGGGAAGACATTGAATGACACAGAGATTAATATAGAGTCTGTAGCACAAAAATGGTCCCCAATTATTCCATGCTGGCATTTATGCTCCACATAAGCCTGTACCCACATCAGTTCATCCCATCAACATAGCTTGTACCTCAATCCTTCATGTGTTTAACTCACTTTTTCTTAAATGCACCTTTGCCGCTCACCCACTCACTGTGGCAGCAGGTTTCATATTCTCACCACTTCTCTGGGTAAAAAGGTTTCTCCTGAATTTCCTACAGGGTTGATTCATAGAATGAATGAATTCATATGGATAAATAATCAAAGTCCCCTCTCCTGACGTACAAAACCTGGGCACTGCCTCAAATGCAGCTATAGACGAGAACTTGCAATAGGTTGGTTATGTCACCTATAATAGTCTGTAATGACCTAAAGGTGTAAAAACTTAGGAAGACGGCGATGTTGACATGCACTGGCAGTTTTCATTGACCACTTTCCAAGCACAGCTACCAAATACAATGATCCTTGCTGTGGTCCTGAAGATGCATGTGGATAAACCCATCTGTTGAGCACTTTCACCACTTTCTTTTCCCTCTCCCTCTGCAAGACGTTTGTCTTCTCTGCTCTATCTTCCCTTGATGCTTAGGCCTAAGGTGGACTGTGACTGTAGATTGGGAGCAAGTGATGTATTCAGGGGCATTTCAAAAAAGTATAATTCCTTCCAAAAATCTAACAGCACTCCCTTATAAGTAAAACAACATCTCACAACTCCTCTAACATTGTACTTCCAACAATTCTGAAACAGTACACAGACAGTCAGAATTCACCCCATGTGCAGGTTGAATAGTGCTGCCTTTAGATTGTTGTGGTGGATGGGATGGGGCAGACATGCAGCTGAATGCGTATTTAGCTCTATGTTTTTAAGCATGGGTACTAATTAAAGTGGCAAGATCCAAAATGACAAGTCAGGTGTCAAATCATTGCCAAACTGGCATTATGATTTACCACCTCTGAATAATTCTGGCACTTCCATGGAACATCTATGCAACCATCCTCAAAGCGTAACAACTGGTGCAGATCTCACTGTAAGTGGTCAGGAATGTTCCCACTATTTCTTATTGCACTGGTTCCATAGCACCAGCATGACAGAGCCTAATTTGGTAACCAATGAGATGTATTCAAGCCTTGCTGATCTTAATATGGAAATTCTTAGTGGCAAAGTGTATATACAATATTACCCTGAAACCAGTTTATGCTGTACCTGAACTCTGATCTCTGAATAATTATTTTTATTCCTTGCCTATTTAATTGTTATGGTTATGTGAACGTTTAACTTACCTAAAATCTGTTTCACTTCAAAACATTTCATTTTTTGTGTTTCAACGGGAATTCACTTACATTCAGTCCTTCCTTTCGGTAGCTCTGTTGAATACAGTGCAGTATTCCCTTATATTTTGTCTCACTGACTCCATCCGCTTGAAGGCGACTTTTGACAACATCCATGGGAGTCGCAGTACCCCATGAAATCGTTCCTAAAAACAAATTTAAAGTCAATATTCAGAACTAACACACCCTTCATTGAAAACTGTATCACAGAACTGGCAACGAATTCCATGGAATAACTGCACACAGTCCCATTGACAACTGGTGATCCTGTACAGATGATATAACACAATGATCTCAGGCAGTTATAGCTTTGTAAGAAAGGCAACAAGATCAATTGCACATGTATCATATTTCTACACTCTCCCTTGGCTTCTCTCTTACTATTGCAACATAATACCTTGAACACCAACTGAATGGCTTCTGTCACTGCTGCTATAATGGGTGCCAGGGAAATGAGACCAATAGAAATAACTTACAGTGAATTTCGAGGAGCAAAGCATAGCTTTTGAGTGAGTGAGCCACAGAATGAGAAGCAAATGTTTAGCAAAGATCAGTCTGAAAAGAAAAAATCATAAACACAAGGAATAATGCACATTAATATAACAGCAACAATGAATGAAGGGCATGGGAATTAAAAGAAAATGAGGTGATTCTTCCTTGGATTTTTTTCTTACCTATAGTTCAATCACTACTTGACACTTACAACACTGTGTTTCCTACTTTATTCAGGACTGAAAGTGGACCTCTGCACCATGGGCCAGCTATTTCGCCGAGGTTATTTTTAAAGTGGCAATCAGGAGTGCTCTGCTTCATTTTGTAATCCTTTTTATAAAATGCTACAAGATGAAATTTTAACACGCTCTGAAAGTTTGTGATTTCAAATAAACCTGTTGGACTATAACCCGATGTCATGTGACTTCTGACTTTGTCCATCTCAGTCCACACTGGCACCTCCACATCATAAATATCAGAATGGCATCGCCTGTACTCTTTAATGACATATCACTGGCGTGAAATTTCTTTAATTCTTTCATGCCTATATAAAGAGCAAAAGCCGAATAATCCGGATACACAATTCTCAGGTTATATTGTTAGATTTTTTTGTGAATATTGTCAAAACATGCACAACTGCATCTATGACAACACAGAACAAGTGGAATGTATCACATTATATGGTTTACTTTCATTGCAGCTCATCCATTCTCTCCTACTCTTAGCTCCTATTATCACTTATTCAGCTTACTTCTGTTCTACTATCCATCACCTCCTTGTTTACCTACACCTTTCATGTTTCTCTCTCTCTGGGCTCCACCTCCACCTATTCGCTCACCTCTCCTCTTTCCCCCTACCAACCTCCAAATTCATCTTCAGCCTAAATACCACTTTTTCCTTGCTGCTATCAGAAGTGTCAGCAGAATCAAACATTAACTGTGCTTTCTTCCCACAGACGCTGCTAAGTCTGCTGAGTTTCACCTGCCATTTCTGTTTTTGTTCCAGATCTTCAGCATCTGCAGTTGTTTTATTTTACAGTCAATTAACTTAATGTGAAGCCACTAAATGAAAGAAACTTTGAGATCTATATTAATTTCATTTCCAAACCTAAGAGAAGTTCTTCCTTTATTCCAAGAGATTCATTGTGATTTGGAACAACCATCGGCAGCCCAGACTTGTAAACACCAGGTGATGCTTCGACATGGTAGTTTAGAGCAGAAAAAAGGTTACACAATCAAAGACAGCATCCGAAAAGGATCATTTAAACCCAACGAGCAAAGTGGAAAACAGAAGATTTTTGATCAACAATCTAATTTACGTCCCATTTGACTTTACTTACACATGGAGAGCAAAGCAGACTTTCAAACTCAACTTAATCTCTTCCCCATGTTTCAGTTAAAATTATCTTACTGCTAATATCTTTGTAGGTCATTGTAATAAATTGCTCAAATTATTCATGCAATTACTTCTTGGTTACCTTGTGGGAAACAAAAAGTGGCTGTTATGTTTGATGTTGCAGATCAGGATTACTATTTGACAGTTAGTCGTAGGCATTTCACTTAAGACCATAGCCTGATTGATCGGATTCGGAAAGGCATTGATCTAAACACAGTCCCTATTGCCTATATCATCCTTTTTATTCCAGACAGCAGATGGCACTAACCATTTACTCTTACCATAGGTGTCAATTACCAAGATACACTTAAACTGCATGAAGCGTAATAACTAGTTCAGGCAGTTCAAACAGCTGTTCACTTTTTATTAAAGTGTTACTACATGTCATTAGGTCCTTTTGGGCAGCACACTGCTTTCAGTCACCCTAATCACTCTCCACCCCTCAAGCCCTCGAACTCTCTGGCCCCACAGCGATTGTGTCAATTTAATTAACTATGTATAGCTGATAAATTCAGTTGACACCAAAAGGCACTGGGTTTGTTGCACTGCCAGCGAGCTAAATGGGATAAGATTCAGAATGTGCTTCCTTCAGTACCTGAACTGCTGAATATCTCCAGTGTGTTCTATCCTTATGACACTCGCCACGTACTGGATTTGTTTCACATTCTTGGGCTTAGTCTTTAACATCAGCCATGGCATCTAGCTCAACCACCAGCCTTACTTTTTGAATAGCAAAATAATGAAAGATGCAGCTTCAAAAACATAATGCAGAACTTCTCCAAATTATTTCAAACACTGAAATGTTCTGTTATGTAGCCTAATGGTTTGCTCAGTTCTAATTATTAGCTTATTGCATTCTTCACTTTAGTGTCTTTTGCACAACTGATGGTTAATAAAGTATCATCCCGAGTCAATCAAGTAACAAGTCCATTGTCATCCAATATCAACAATATTTCTTACTGTTTCAATTGAAACGGAGCTGAATCTCTGGACTATTGAAGTAAAAATGCATCATAACAGCTCCCATTATGTTGTAAATTCACATGAAGAAAACCATACTAAGCAGCACAAACAAAAAATTACTTGAACAGTTAAAAATAAAAGACTTAATGGCTCATGCATACATGGAAGCTTAGTTTTGGAGCACTCAATGCCACTTCAGTGTAATCAACATTCCTCGAACTCTGGTTATTCCAGAAATGATGGAAAAAAACATAAAGTTTCTCAATCATCCGAGTCAGAAACTGTCAAAATTCTGAGCTTCCCTGCAAAGAGGATATTAGTGCTTTGACTTAATATGAATGCAAAATGATTTGGCTCCTCTGGCTATGGTAAATTTCTCTGCATCAGTCACAGTTGTCCGTGCTGCGTCAAAAAAAACTTTCAAAGTTCTGTGATTGTTTTGGCATTTCTGGAAATAGTGCATGAAAAACATTCTTGACAAATGCACCTGTACTGATGTATTCTGTTGGCTGGATGCTAACTGGAAGTTTTGCTTCTCCTGTGATACTGTCTGATACATGAGTCTTTTCTTCCAGTCAGTTGTTCAATTTCTTCAACCTATATGTCACATAATGGATTCCCTTAGAGAAACCCATTTTGAATGGAGAGACCAGTTTGTATCTTCACCCTAATTCCTTTTTATGGCATAGAAAATACTCTGGGTGCGAACTCAACACTCTATCTGAATGTCTGAAGTACACAATTTAAATAAGTCTCCAGCCACTTTAAATATTTTGCTCAGCCAAGCATGTTAAGGAAAGTAAAGGGGTCAAACTTGTGCACAGTCAGTGCAGAGACTCTCAGATTGTTCCACAGCTCTTCAGCTTCAGAGAATCATTGACCACTGCCACAGATCACTGCTGTCTGACTTGGCTTGATGGCTGTTTACAAATGAACATAAGGGATTAAACTACTCAACACCATCCTGATGTATCTTTTTTTGCAAATCGTAACAGTATTGGCAGGAGTGATCACTGCACAGTTATTGAAGAGAAAAAGTCCCACCTTCACAGTGGAACACCATACATTGTGTCATGCAGCACTACCAACAAGCTAAATGGGATAAGATTCAGAACATAATAGCTGTTCCAAACTAGGAATTCATGATGCACTGAGGACATCAATAGCAGCAAAACTGTATTTCCTCATACTCTGTACCTTCATCATCTTGGCATGTCCCTCATTCCAGCTCGGGGCAATGAAGAAAGTTTAGGAGAACCAGGTGAAGCTACAAAAAGGGATTAAATGCATACAAAAGTGAAATTTACATGACCAATGCATCAGTTCAAAGCTCTGAAGTCCTGCAAGAATGATGGTAAACAACCAGTGGGAGTAGGAGGAGAAGGTTCTATGAATATCTCCATCCTTATTGAGCAAACTGGCATATGCAAAACAAAAAGACAAAGTGTTTTAAAACTTTTTCAGCTAGAAATCCTGAATGGATGATTCATCTTGACTTAAACCCCTAGGTCCTCTCTATCATAAAAGCCAATCTTCAGCCAACTCAGTTCACCACATGTGGTATTAATAAACTGAACACAATGAACATAGCAAAGGCTACAGGCTCTGACAAAATCCAAAGTTTAGGGCTAAGACAGTTGAAATCATGACTGCCATCCATGGGGTAATTAAAATCAAGGCTGCATTAATTGTCAGAATTGGTGAAGCACAGAAATTTCAGAGGCTTGTAGAGCTGCAGGAGTCCACCCAGACAGGGAAGGGTGAAGCCTTAAACAGTGAAATATTTTAAAATGAAATATTGCTGAACATGAAACCAACCAAACAAGAAGCTTAATACCATCAGCACATGGATTGCAGTAGTTCAAGAGGTAGCTCATCACCACCTTCTTGAGGGCAACTGGCGACAGGCAATAAATACTAGCCTAGCCAGCAACACCCACATCCCATGAGTGAATAAAAATAATCCATAACAAAGCAACCTGTTTGAGTTGCATCTCGTTGACCAACTTGAAGATTGATTCTATTCTCTCCTAACATACAGCGACAGCAGTATATACCAATTTCAATAGGCAGTGCAGTAACTCACCAAGGATTCTTCGACAGCATCCATGGCCTCTACAACCTTAGGAGGGCAAGGGCAGCAAATACATGATAACACTACCACCTGGAACTTCCCCTCTGAGTGCCACAACATCCTGACTTGGAACTATTTTGCAATTGTTTGCTGGGTCAAAATGCTGGAATTCCCTTCCTAACAGCACCACGCATGTGCCTACCTCAATGAATGACAGCAGTC